TTGGCTTGTGGGCTGGCTGCAGTTTTGACACCTGCCCTAAAGGCACATGTGTGCATCTAGAGTTGGTGCTGTGATCGTAAGTCATAGCTCGAGTGTTGAGTTGTCTGGAGGAGAGGCAGCACGGGCCAGCAGAGGATGGTGTGCACACAGGTGAGGTATCTGCCACCTGGAAGGGGAACATAGCATCTTGGGTGCTTTGTGTTTTGCTTACTGAAAAAAATGTTTTTATTGTTTCAGGTTAATTGAGGGTACAAAGAATTAGGTTACAATGTTTGCTTTTGTTAGGTAAAGTCCCCTTGTAATTGTGTCCTGCAAGAGGTGTGCCATACACCCAAACATTGTGCCCATTAAGTGGGCACACACCCATCCCTTCCCCCCTCCTTGTTGCCTTGTTCTCCTGTCCCTTACTTAAAATTTTTAGTAGCTGTTTTACTGAAAATGTTACTAACTTGAACACATTAGGAGCAAAAATTAATTTTGGAGACAGCCAGCTTCCGTGATTGTAAGTCATAGCTCGAGTGTTGAATGTCAGAAGGTGTATGCTGAGCGGGTTGCCTGGGTAACAGGCATCAAGCTGGTGGATGCAGGGACTGCTTCTCTTGGGGATTCTGGGAATGTGGTTGTTTTGTGTCATCGGCTCTTAGATTGTATATTTCTCCCTCACCCTGTGCTGTTCCTCCAGCCTGTGCTTTTTACAGGACCTCAGTTTCTTTGTCCTTAATGAGATAAGCAGACCCCATTTCCATGCGAGCAGCTGGAGGTCTGGGCGTGGCCTCACTGGCATCAGTCCTTCATATGGCACCGTCTGTGGCAAGTCTGCCTTCCTGTCATGTGTGACTTCAGTATCCTTCAGAATCTCAGTTTTTGTTCTGGCTAGAAGAACATTGTCTTGCACACCTCCTCGGGAGTTGTCTATTAAAACAAGCTTGTCCTTGGGAAACTGCAGACAACAAGCAGAAACTGCTACTTTGGGCAATATTTCAACAACCGGATGAGTAGAAATTGTAGTGCCTTCATGGATATGCACGACCAAGCAACAAGACATCCCTAGCTGTGAGTGCAGGATAAGCACCAACCTTCCTATTCTCAGCGGTTCCCAGGGGAGCAAGTGGGCACCATCCCTGCCCTGCCCTGCCAAACAGCTGGTGTGGGCAGCTGGCAGGAAGGGGGATGCAGGCATAGGGCCTGGGGGCTGAGTGGAATAGCCCTGGCAACAGGGCCTTGAGGGCTCCCTGCAGGCACAGGGTCAGCCCGGTGGCACAGCCAGATGGGGAAGCAGTGATGATCCCTTATCTCTGCACTCTACAGAGCAGGGACTGTGCCTTTCTTGAGAAAGTATGGGTCCCAGATCCTGTGTCCCCTTGCTGCTTTATAAGGGGACAATGACAAGTGGTCTCATTCCTTTCCTGTTCTAAAGAAAAATTTAATCAATGTTAGCCTTTTTAAAGAAGAATAATTAGATGTTGCTGGCAATAAAATAGCTCGGTTCCCTTCCCTTGTTGGCCAGTATATTAGTTTGCTGGTGCTGCTGTAGCAGAGTAGCACAAATGGGGTAACAGAAGTGCATTTCCTCCAGCTCTGGAGGCTCTGGAGGCTGAGAGGGGTGTTGGCCGGCCGGCCCTTCTCCTGAGGGTCTGCTTCCAGCCGCCACCCGCACCAGCAGGTGCCCGTGTTCCTGTTCTCATGCCCCCCCCCACCGTTAGTGTGTCTGTGTCTCCATCTGTGTCTCCAGTAAGATGACACCAGTTGCACTGGGTGAGGGCTCCTCTGAGGGCCTCATTTTAATTAATCATCTTTTCAAAGACTCCATCTCCAAATTTTGAGGTATCGGAGGTTAGGGTTTCAATGTAGGAAATTTTTGAAGGGGGCAATTCAATCCATAACAACCACTTAAGGGTGTTCAGAATGTTTTATAATCTAGTATATATGAAGTAAGACAAATTAACATATGGGCTTAGTTTCCTGTGGGAAGGACAGAAGAGGCAGTGGAGTGTGAAGGAGAACATGGTCACAGTGGACGTTCATTCTGTCCCTCAGGCTGTGTGTGCACAGCTGTGCCTCCCTGGGGAGCTTAACAGTCACTCTGTGTAACTATGTGCCCTCTTCCGGCCTCCCTGGTGATCAGAATGACCCAGGACAGTTGTCACATACACAGAATACCAGGCCCGACCCCAGGAATTCTATTTAGTAAGCTCTCCCAGAGGGCCTTATCTGGAAATGAATTGAGGGCTCACAGATTTGGAGGTACAGAAAATAAATAAATCTGTCCTCTTTATTCCTCACTGTTCCTGAGTAAGGAACAGAGAAAAGCTTAGAGCAGTGATTCTCAACTTTCCTAATGCCATGGCCCCTTAATACAGTTCCTGTGGGTCATGACCCACAGGTTGAGAACCACTGGCTTAGAGAGAGATGAGGAGGGATGGCTGGTGATGCTGGAACCCTATGGCAATGCCAAGACAGGCTGTCCATCAGCCCAGAATGGGCTGCGCAGAGTCAGTGCCTGCTCCGTTGGGCAAGGGGGTCTCAAACTTGGAGTACTTGGTAAAACTGGATTCCCAAGCCCCAGCTCTGATCATCATCTGTTCTCAGAGCCCTGATCTGCTGATTGCAAAGGCAGAGAGTAATTTGGGTTCACTCTGCCACCAAGTGGCAAAGGGAGGCCCTATCCGGTCATAAGTGACCACCCAAATATGTTAATTTGTCTTATTTCATATAACTACTTGATTATAAAATATTCTAAACATCCTTATCTGGTTGTTATGGATTGAATTGCCCCCTCCAAAAATTTCCTATGTTGAAACCCTAACCTTCACTACCTTAAAACTGACTGATTTGGAGATGGAGTCTTTAAAAAGGTGACTAATTAAAATGAGGCCCTCAGGGGAGCCCTTACCCAGTATAGCGTGGCCTGGCAAGTGCTCAGAATGGGACAGAACATCACTTATTTGGTGAAAAGCACAAATAACCTTCAGAGTCTATCTCTCTAATCACCAAATACTCAGCTAGTACTGCTTCTTGATAATACTTTGTATAGAATTTTCTTCTTCTTCTTCTTCTTTTTTTTTTTTTTTGCTTTTTTTGAGACAGAGTCTCATTTTGTCACCCTTGGTAGAGTGCTGAGGTGTTATAGCTCATAGCAACCTCAAGCTCGTAAGCTTAGGTGATCCTCCTGCCTCAGCCTTCCAAATAACTGGGACTACAGGTGCCTGCCACAATGCCTGGCTTGTTTTTCTACTTTTAGTAGAGATGGGTCTTGCTCTTGCATAGCCTGGTCTGGAACTCCTGAACTCAGGCAATCTACTCGCCTCGGCCTCCCAGAGTGCTGGGATTACAAGCCTGAGCCACCACGCCTGGCAAACTTTCACATCTGTGTGCATTAAGGTACTGGTATACAGTCTCCTGCCTGTATCCTTGTAGGAGGATAATAGAAGTGTACCCTCATCATCCATATTTTTGGAAGACTTTGTATAGAATTATTATTACTTTTTCTTTAAATGTTTTGTACCTCATTTAAAGACCTGGATATTTTTGTGTGAAAGTTTTCAGGTACAAATGCAAATTCCTTAATATCTGTGTGTGTGCCCATGTGTGTAGCTATATATATTTAGGTTATATCTTTCTCTTTGAGTGAATTACTGAGAAATTTTAAGAAATTTGTTTATTTAATCTTAGTTGTTGAATGTATTGTTATAACGTTATTCATAATACTCTTTTGTTAGCCTTTTAATGGATCTAGAATTTTTGATAATGTCACTTGTCTCATTCTTAATAGTGACACTTTGTGTCTTTTTAAAAATATTGGTCTGGCTAGAGGTTTGTGAATTTTATTGATCTCAAGGAACTAGCTTTTGATTATGCAGATTTTTCTGTACAGTGTTTTCCTCTTTTAATGTTATCTACTCTTTATTATTTATTTTCCTCTGCTTACTTTGGGCCTCTGTTTTTTCTTTTGCTCAGGTTATTGATTTTTATATTGACTTTTCTAGGATAACATTTAGTACTCTAAATCTCCTTCTAGGTACTACTTTAGTGGCCTCTCACCAGGTTTTGTGTGTTTTATTTAATTTCCATTCAGTTCACATTACTTTATATTTCTCTTTTGATTTCTTCTTTGATCCTTGCATATTTTAGATGTATTTGCTTTCCAAACATTTGGGGATTTTGCAGTTACCTGATATAATCCTACTGTGGTGAGAGGATATACTTTATAAATCTTGACTCCTTTATTTTTTTATTTTTTATTTGTTTTTGAGACAGAGTCTCACTGTGTCACTCTGGATAGAGTGCCATGGTGTCACAGCTCACAGCAACCTCTGACTCTTAGGTTTATGTGATTCTCTTGCCTCAGCCTCCCAAGTAGCTGGGACTACAGGCATCTGCTGCAGTGCCTGGCTATTCCTGGTTGTTGTCATTGTTGTTTGGCAAGCCCCAGGCTGGATTCAAATCTGCCAGCCCTGGTGCATGTGGCTGGTGCT